CCTGGCCGTCAGTGCCCTCCGGGGTGCCAACGAGAGCCGGCCAGCCCTCGCCCAGTTCACCACAGGTAGCTAAGCTGGCTTTGCTGGGAGAACCGGCATGAATTTTTAAGCCTCCAGGAAGCACGGGCAGATGGTTTGTTGCAATCTGCAGACGGGATGTCCTGCAACGAGCATGGGGGTTTGCGTATCCGGAGCCAAACTGAGGGGGTTTTGCATCTGGGATTTAGTGGTACCTGGTTTCGCCCCCCGGCATGAGTGAGCTGGGGTTTAATGTGGTGTACTGGGAGGACGTGGTGCAATGAAAACATGATGGTTAAGATGCAAGTCCGAACGAAGATGCTTGAATGCGGGTACCTCGCATCCCACTGTGGTCCTGGCGCAGAGCAAACGATTCAGCTCACCTTAAACCACACGTGCACAGCTCAAACCACCCTCTGACCACCCCCCCTCCACTAGCGCCTACATTTCTGTTTAATCCCTAAACCTCCAGCGCAATGGGTCTCCACCATGCCCCGCAGGGATGCTCGCATGGCCCCCACGGCACTCCCCAAGTGACCCCAGATGCCAACAACCAGGCAGATGACTCAAAACCCCAAATTTAGATGACAACCCCCAAGCAAACCCCACCTTGGCCATGTCCTGCTGCAGCACGAAGGCCAAACCTGCTGCTGCCTGGGACACACGTCCCCACCAGCTTCAATGCCCGTTCAGACCCACAGCTTAGCTTGAGTTCACAGCTAAAACTTTAAAACCCAGCAGTTTACACCCCTAATACCACCCGTTGATCAACATGCAATTCCCAAAAGCACCAAAACAGCAAGCACAGGTCTGAATTCAAGGCGATGCTCGCTCTCATTCAGCGCCGAGAGCCAAGGCAGATGTGTTGCCCAAGGAATCAGCAGTCAAGCGGCTGAAAGCAGCCCAATCAGAAACGTGGTTATCTTACTTTATATCTTCCCTGAATACCCTAACTGGTCGGTAAAGCTTTAATTAATGTTAAGCCTGCAGATAGCTAACAGGTTTAATTTACCGTGCCATAAAGGAGGAGGTAGAGCGTGTATTTCAGTGCTGGTTTATGGTATATAAATTACTTGTCATGTACGTTACTGGTGGATACTAGGCTCCTATTACAATAACTGTGGTGTGTGAATTGTGTGTGTATATATCTCTATAGATATATATTTCAGACGAGATGTTCACCCTGACTGATTTGCTGCGTTGGCCTTCCTTGCTTTATTTCTAAAAGGCAACATAAAGACCATCAAGAAGCAGTAATTACCCCCCATCTGCTGGCGCCCAGCCCCTGCCGGGCACCAAGCTGTTGCTCACAAGAGGTTTATCACGCAAATCGGAGCAGATTTAGTGCACAGCCCCAGCAGCACTAATAAACAAACCCTTTGGGCAATGTCTGAGTGTGAATGAGCCTGGAAAGATGCTCAAGGCTCTTCTAAGAGCAGTTCTTACCAATGTGTGACTGCTACAGAGCCCTTTTTCTCTTACGCACGCTGCCTCAGTTTCCCTTACTCTAACAGAGAGAGGAAACACTTTTCTTTTTCAAATAACATGCAATTAGCTCCCGAAGCTCCTTGCTGAGGGATGCTGTGAATACCCCAGCACTTGCGTTGGTCTCGTGAGTGGCATCTCCAGGTCTGTGCTAAGCAGGAGGTGAGATCAGATGCCCCAGCCCCTGCCGCGGGGACGTGCCCTGGGAAGGAGGGACCTCATGGACATCACACCTGGGTACCCCTCCGCTGCTGTTTAGCATTGCCAAGGCCTTGCATCCCTGGTGCCCGGCAGTGAGACGGAGCCTCTCTCCCTTGTGTCGCGCAGAGATCGATGCCCCCAAGAACCTACGGGTGGGCTCGCGGACGCCCGCCAGCCTCGAGCTTGCCTGGGACAACAGCGAGGCTGAGGCACACAGCTACAGGGTGGTCTACAGCACCCTGGCCGGGGAGCACTACCATGAAGTCCTGGTGCCACGTGACACCGGCCCCACCACCCGGGCCACCCTCGCAGGTACATGTGCACCCACATGCCCTTCCTCCCCATCCTCTTCCTCGCAAGCAGGTAGGGCAATGGAGAGGCCAAATCAGCGCTGATGCTTGGTTGCCCTTATGCTGGCACACATTTAAGGCTGGTTTGGAGTTTACTAGTTACTGGAGACAAGGTTTTCCTTGGGATGAAGCTAATTTTCCCCTCTGTGGGTCTGGATTTGGGCATTGCTTATCCACGAGTTGGGTGATGCACTGCCGAGCGACGCACCTCCAAGTGATACACTTCAGGTGGTGCGCCTTTGAGTGATGCACCTCCAACAATGGTCTGACCAGGTCCCAAATAGAGCTGGCGAGGAGCAAACTGAGAAATGGGGGGGGGGGAAGGCTTTTTTAGGCTGATGTAGAGGAAAATATTATTTCACTTTCCTTTTCTTTTTCCTCGTTGGGAAAGAGCCGCAGGCGCTATGCCCTGTAGGCATCGATGGGGATCCATGCTGCCCAGGTTCGTTGCCTTTTTCCAAATGGAGCACAAAGCAGACCCAAATCCAGGGATGCTATTTTTGAGCCGGTCCCTGAAGCGGTATGTTACTCAGGCCAGCACAGTGGGTGCCACCCGTGGCTGCAAACATCACCCACCTCCCACCGCCAGGAAAGTCCCAAACACCCTTTGCAGCAACACCACGATGCACCATGTGAGATCTGGTTTCCTTTTTTTTTCCCCAACTACAACTGCTTGCCTGCCAGATTTGCAGCTCCAGTGACATTTTTTTTTTTGAGCAAAGAAAAGACTTACTTACACATAGACAAAAAAGATCACTCATTCAGCTTGAAGCTCCTCGGTATTGCAGGACACCAGGTTCTTCCACGTTTGCCCTCCTGGGACCTCCTCAGCCCAAAGAGGGCTCAGAGATCTCTGCCGTATAGGAATAAGTTTGGTGGGCAAGTCGAATGCCAAGATACAGGCACAGCGGCACCAAGGCATGAGAAAGGCTGGAGGACAGGAAAGCAATTAGAGCAGTTAGCTTGAAAAATGTGGTATGCAGAAAAAAGAAATGTTTGGGATAGTTTCTGCTGCACTCGTGATAAGGACGTGCATGGAGAAACAGGATGAGATGGAAGGGGACAGCAAGGGATTGGACACCCAGTGCCGATCTCCTGATAGCTTTCCTCTATGCATTTACTGCCTTCCTAGGTGAGAAGGAGCATTAAAAATGGGCCAAATCCTCCTCCCTGTGGCAATACTACCCCAGTGACCTAAACTGCGATGACACCCATGGCAGAGCCTGAGCTTGCCCCAGAAGAAGAGACAGCACGAAGGCTCTCTTCTCTCTCAATAAAAATAAAAAAAGCTGCCAAGTGTCTACCTGTAGACCCTCAGAGCAAGCTCCAGAGATATAGAGGCTTAAGTCAATAGTGGTGAGCAATTTTTTTATATACTGTCTCCATCATCACTTAAGTGCATTGCTTCTAGCTCTCAGGGTACTACGTAATAAAGAAACAAATCTAAAAAAAAATCTAATTATAGCAGAAAATAACACCAAAAAATATTGCTGCTGGCAAAAAAAAGCCAGGGTAGCCATAACGTGGATGGCACATGAGGCTGTCTCATAGCTCCATTACTCACAGAGTAGCCCTGTCCTCCAAGGTCTTGTTGCACGTAGTGCAAAGCCTGTCAGAGTGGGTTTCCAGCCACCCGGGACCTGGTGGGATCTGTGGCGTGAAAGCAACCAGCGATTCCTTTGGCCCCCTTCATCTGCCTGCAGGAAAAGCAACGAGAAATAGTGCTGAGCAAAGCTTATCAACGATTTAAGCTTAAAAATACAGCACGCCTTGCCCTGCCCCATACGTCTCTCTTCAAAACCAGCATTTGCACAGAAATATCTGTAATTTTGCTCTACGCAAAAGTGCTGGGAGACAAAAGGCATCATTTTATATGCTCCTGCTCATTTCTTCCTTCTCCTCCCCCTTTCTCCCAGGCTCTTCTCCTCCTTTCCAGGATACTGCTGACAGTTATTGGGCAGGGGTGTAGGGGGTCCATCTCCCTCCCAGCACTGAGACTGCACCGTAGCAAGAGGAGAGGAGCAGGGGATGGGGGTTTCCCTCCCTCCCAGCCTCTCAGGGAAGGTTTTGATGGCTTCAGGGTCTCCTGCCCCTGGGCAAGGCACGGTGAGGACGGGCTGGAGGGTTTATGGGTTTCTCTAGGCCCATGGGAGAGATCATGAAGTGCAGGGAGGAGGGGAATAAAGCCACCAGCAGCCAAGTGACAGGCAGAGGCAGGAGATGTCCCACAGAGATAAAACAGCCATCAGCAAGAGGTCCTTTGAGAGAGGCACCGCAGGATCCGTCCACCCCAAGAAGCGGCGCCTGATAGGGCTCCTAGAAGGACTGTGCCCTTCCTAATTGCTGTGCGTTTCATTTGCTCTGCATAATTTATTTCTCTTTGAGACACCAGCCCAGTGACAATATTTGATGTTGAATCACTTAGGAAACAAATATAAATACTTTGTCGTTCCCATCTCAGCTCACACACACAATTTCTGTCTCAATGCCAGCAATTACAGCAGACATCAGCAACAACTTTTTTTAAATTGCTTATTTCTGAGCTAGAATAATCTAAATTCCCTGTCCAAAGGTATCTACAGAGCTTTTTAAAAGGGCTCAGCTCTTCTCCAACACGCAGAGGAACTGCTGAGCTGTGGGAGGGCTGCTCACCCCAGAGGTGCTCATGAGGGTCCCCTCCTTGTTCCCAGCTGTGGAAGATGGGGGGAGGTCGCACCCCAAGGCCACCCAGCCACGTGCTGGTCTCATGCCCCTTTGTGTCCTTTGCACCCCCTGGCAGATCTGGTGCCGGGGACAGAGTACGGCATCGGGATTTCAGCCGTGATGGACAGCCAGCAGAGCGTGCCAGCAACCATGAACGCCAGGACCGGTGAGTTTGGCCCCATTGCATGCTCCAAGCACGGCCGGCTCCTATGACTCAGACGTCCCCATGGGACAGCCCGTGGATGGGGACGAAGGTCTGCACCAACTCTCTCCTACAGAGCTTGACAGCCCCCGGGACCTCCTGGTGACAGCCTCCACGGAGACATCCATCTCGCTGACCTGGACCAAAGCCACAGGTCCCATAGACCACTACCGTGTCACCTTCACCCCTGCCTCGGGTATGGCCTCCGAAGTGACAGTGCCCCGGCACGAGTCGCAGCTCACCCTCTCGGACCTGGAGCCCGGGACGGAGTACACTATCTCCATCATTGCCGAGAGGGGACGCCAGCAGAGCCTGGAAGCCACCGTGGATGCCTTCACAGGTAGAAAAAGACAAGTTGGGATGGGGCCAAGGGCACAGACCACCACCCCACACTGGCACCTGCACCAGACCACTACGTCCCCAGCACCAAAACTCTTGAGGTGGTGACGGGGGAAATCCATCCGCATGGGAGGAGGATGGCCCTACCAGCATGGTGATCCCATCACCCTGGCCAGCAGCACTGACCATTCTTGCTTGGCTGGAGACTCCCATAAGGAAGAGGCAGGGTTGGGGGAACAGCCAGCCCAAGCTGTCCTCTGTGGTCAGGGTGGTCTGTGTATCCATAAGAAGGAAAAAAACCAAGCATTGAGTGACCACACACGCATCTCTGGATGAAAAGCCTGCAGTCGAGAAGCCCACACAGCACATACCATCTGTAGTGGGACAGCCCCATCACTCACCATATGGGTCTGGCACGATGGAGCGTGTTTGCAGGCAGAGCTGAGAAAAGCACCATTTTTCTCCTCCCAGTTCTGCCTCTCACTCCCAGCACAGTTTCAGACCAATGGAGAGCCCAGAGCTGCAGCTTTGCCACCTCTGTTGGGTATTTCCCATACAAGTGCTGGGAACGATGCAGAGGCCGGGATCTGCAGACGGTCGGGGTTGCATCTCCCCTCTCCATCTTGCAGGGGCCCGGCCCATCACGCAGCTCCACTTCTCCCAGCTGACGTCCTCCAGCGTGAATGTCACGTGGAGTGATCCATCCCCACCAGCAGATCGCCTCGTCCTCACCTACGGCGCCCGGGACGAGGAGGAGACACAGCAGCTCACGCTCGATGGCACCCGCAGGCACGCCAGCCTGACGGGCTTGCGGCCATCCACCGAGTACCTGGTGTCGCTGATGGCCATGCATGGTGCCATTAGCTCTGAGCCTGTCGTGGAATCCATCACAACAGGTACCATGGGACCCCCCTGCCAGGCACGGGACCCCGCCAGGAGGGCGGGTGGGGGGAACGGGGAGCGGACCTGCCTCCCACAGCTTTGCTTTCTGCTCCATCTCACCAGGGATCGATGCGCCGAAGGACCTCAGAGTGAGCAATGTCACCCAGGAGTCCATGATCATCTACTGGACCCCTCCCATCTCTGCCTTCGACCACTACAGAATATCCTACCGTGCCGCGGAAGGTAATGGGTCAGACTACTCTTGCTCATGCCCTGAGCTTGCAGCTGCCAACCCTCCCTCCATCTGGTCATCCTCATCCTGGTAAAAGCCGCCAATAGCTGGGATGGACCAAGAGGCTGCAGGGATGGAGGACAGGGTGTCTGGGGCAAGGATGGGCCACT